AACTGGAACAAGCCATTAGCTCCAAGCCCAGAACGTAACAGGTCCCTGTAGAGACAGAAAGTGGGGAGGTCCCAGCCTGAGCAGTAGCTGCTGTTGGATATAACAAATGCAGATGCTTAAAGCTCAGCAGCCTGCCCCAATCCACTCCATTGGTTTCCCTCCCATCTTACCTTCATCGGAGCTGCAATCTTTGGTTCAGATCAGCCCAGGCTTTGGGAGGAGGGAACCAGGCAGCAATTAATTGCAAGCAGCACGAGATAGGTAAAGGAAGCAGCTCTCTGCCAGCCTGCACTGACCCCAGCCTCACTGGCACGGCCTCAGCCTGCCAGGTGGGAGGGGAACTAAAGCGAAAATAAATAGAAAAGGGGTCTCGGGCCTTCCGAGCCCAATCCCACACCACTTTGACCCCACCATCAACCACCTCTATGTTAAGGAGGGCTGGGACGGGCGACAGGTCCCATCCTGGCCACCTAAACATCACCGTGCCACCTCTCCCTGATAATTGCCGAGTGCAAGGAAAAGTCCTTTGGGCTTGGTGGGTCAGTTGGTGAGTTGGTTGCTGCTGCTTTCGCCATGAGCAGCATCACAGCATTGTTCAGTCTTTGTGTCGCCGTCCCGGCATGGGACACAGGCACTATCCCACGGGACAAAGAAAGTGCTAGCTTTTGACCTGTTCTCACGTGGCCTTGGCCGAGCGGCACCTACTGGACAACACAGGAGAGATTTTCCCCAAAACAACAGGGGCAAGTAGAGGAGCTGGTGGGTTTTGGGGGGATGAGATCCAGATCTTCGTCGTCGGGGACCTCGTCGAGGTGGTACCCATCCTGCAGCAGCTGCCGGCTCAGGTCCTGGTTTACCTGCTAAGGGGGGACGACAAAGAAGGTGGAGCTGGTTAAAATTAGTCACAGTTTAGTTAAAATTTAGGTTCCCAGGGCTTGCAAAGGGTAGAGCTGTGAGCAAGGGCATCGTGTCCTCCCTCTGGTGCCTTTGCATGGGGAGAAGCAGCACAACCAGAGCTAAGAAGATGAAAGCAAAAGACCAAAGAGCTTTTCCTGGGCTGCAGCACCCCGACACCCCTCCCTGTGAACCCCCAAACACCGCGAGGTGTAACGGGGATGAGGGAACTTGCGGGGCCCACGCCGTTGCGGGCAAACCCCTGGACTGACCTCAGCAGAGGAGTATCCCGAGGAACATCTGGATCCCAGCTCCCCGTCACTAAGAGAAGAAGGAAACAACCATCAGGACCAGCTGGGAAGCAGTGTCTTTACTTGGGATAGAGATAAGGGAATCCTGAAGAGGAGGGGAGAAGGGAGCTGGCAGCATGACCACCAAGGGATTTGCTAAATTTAGGACAACAGGAGTGTCCTTCCATAGTGCGATCGGGGATGCGCTACCAGTGACAAGGTGAATAAATGTTAAAAAACACCAGCTCTGAGCCTGGAACACCCCCACCCAAAATCCTGGGATATTCACCCAGTCCTCACCTGTCCGAATCAAGGGAGACCAAGTTTTCATCTGCTGTCTGGCTGAGCGCCGTGTAGCCCTTGTTGAACTTCACCGACCTGCTGGAGAGCAGAGGAGCCAGCCCATAACAGCTGTTTTGATGCGGAAAAGCTGATGGAATGAGGAACCAGGGCAGGGATCCCTGTCCTGGACGCCCCTTCCCACCTAGTCACTGTCCAGGGCCACCATAACCTAAGAATAAATTCCACCTAATCTCCAGGCTCCCCGATTCAATCCTTAACATCAAACCATCCCCAAACCAAAGAGAAGCAGCATCGTGGGAGCTACCTTTTGTTATATCAGATTTTATTATGTTGGATGCTTGCTGGCCACCAGCAGACTAAGGTCCCAAGAGCATATTTTTTTTATCCTCTGAGCTCCCCAGTCTCCCCAAGGAAAGCAAAAAGTACGTATCAGTGGGTAAAATGAAAACGGGATCAGACCTTTTCACTGCCGGCTTCGGCTGGTGTGGCGCAGGTCCCCCCAGCAGCCCCTGCCTTCGCAGCGCTGCCTTCGCCAGCTCGCGCTGCCTCTCTGAAAGCCAAGCACAGGGGCAAAGCTAAAAAGATCCAAGAGCTCCCCAAAAGTCTTAATTTTTTGAGGGTTAGGGAGGGCATTGCAGGTGAGTCCTCAGGAGAGCACGGATGCATTGCAGTTCTTGCCACGGGCAGTGCCTATGGGGTTTTTCAAAATATTTTTATAATGGCTTTATCCCATCAAGGAATAAAAAGGGGTTTGGTCACTCCTGCCCTAGGCGAGGGGTGCAGATGTCTCCCCAAATCCTGGCCAAGTGCCTGGGATGACCCCAAACGTGACTTACGAAGCTTGGTGTGGAGGGAGGGAGGCTTGCTCATGATGTACGGTCCCCTTTTCTCCACTGCATCTGTTGCTTTGTTCAGCCTCTTGTTTTCAGCCTGAACCAGCTAAAAAAAAAAAATACAAAAGGGAAAAGAGGCACACTTAGGAGTAACTGACGTCATTTACCTGGACCCGTGCAAGGCATTTGATGCTGTCCCACATGACATCCTTGTCTCCAGGATGAAGAGACATGGACTTGATGGATGGACAACTCAGTGGATAAAGAACTGGCTGGATGGTCGCACTCTAAGAGCTGTGGTCAACAGCTCAGTGTCCACGTAAAAACCAGTGACAAGTGGTGTTCCTCAGGGGTCTGTTCTGGGTCCAGTGCTGTTCCACTTCTTTGTCAGCGACATAGATGATGGCATCGAGTGCGCCCTCAGCAAGTTTGCCGACGACACCGAGCTGTGTGGTGCCGTGGACTCACTTGAGGGAAGAGATGCCATCCAGAGGGACCTTGACAGGCTTGAGAAATGGGCCAGTGCAAACTGCATGAGCTTCAACAAGTCAAAATGCAAGGTCCTGCACCTGAGTCGAGCCAATCCCAGGCACAAATACAAACTGGGCACAGAGTGGGTTGAGAGTAGCCCTGAAGAGAAGGACTTGGGGGTGTCGATAGATGAGAAGCTCAACATGAGCCAGCAGGGTGCTCATGCAGCCCAGAAGGCCAACCACATCCTGGGATGTATCAAGAGAAGCGTGGTCAGCAGGTTAAGAGAGGTGATTCTCCCCATTTACTCTGCTCTTGTGAGACCCCACCTCGAATACTGCGTCCAGTTTTGGTGCCCCCACCATAAGAGGGACGTAGATCTGCTGGAACGAGTCCACAGGAGGCCACAAAGATGATCCAGGAGCTGGAGCAGCTCTGCTATGAGAACAGGCTGAGGGAGCTGGGATTGTTCAGCCTGGAGATGAGAAGACCCCAGGGGCACCTTATCACTGCCTTCCAGTACCTGAAGGGAACCTACAGGAAGGCTGGAGAGAGACTTTTTACAAGAGTGCCCAGTGACAGGACAAGGGGAAATGGATTTAAATTGAAGGAGAACAGGTTTAGACTGGATCTTAGGAAGAAATTTTTCAGTACAAGGGTGGCGACACTCTGGAATATATAGCCCAGAGAGGCTGTGGATGCCTCTCCCTGGAGATTTTCAAGGCCAGGTTGGATGAGGCCTTGAGCAACCTGATCTAGTTGAGAGGCGTCCCTGGCCATGGCAGGGCGGTTGGATTGGATGATTTCTGAGGTCCCTTCCAACCTCAGCCATTCTATGATTCTATGGGGATGACGTAAACTGGAATCATTATTGGGAACTCAAGGGCAGTAGGGAAATCTGCCACCCCATCAGGGACAACTCCTCCTCCCCAGAGCTGATGTGCAGCCAGAGGAGGGGGAAGAAAAGGAATAAAGGGACTATTTGGGAATGGTGATGCCAAATTGAAAGTGCACATGGTGATGAGTAGTTTCCTTGCAAGCCTAACCTGCAAGATTTAACTCGTAGATTTAGCAAATGGAATAAAAAGATACTTTATTTTAATTTCTCAGCAGGTTTTGAGCCTTTCGAGCTTCTCCCTCTACAATAAAATGACAGCAGTGTCATATAACCAGGTCTAAGAGTCAGGGCCTTAAGACAAAGCCTTCCACATCCATAAAGTATTTATTGTCAAGGAAAGCCAGCACTGCCAAATAATAGGCAGAAAAAAAGTTCTATGGATTAAATAATTGATAATGAAAACTAAGGAAAAATCAGAAGAGGGGGGAGAAAGTAGGGGCAGGAGGGACAGGGAATTAGAGGAAGCAGTTGACAAGGAAACAGCACAGAGGACCTGGGGTGGTGATGGAGGAGCACAACCGGGATTAGCATCAGTGTCTTAAACCGGAATTATGAGGGCAGAGCCTTCCCTGCAGGAACAACCCCCTGTGCAGGGAGCTGGGGCCGCACCAGCCTGTCGGCATTAACCAGGCAGGCAGCACACCCTGTATGTGCTATACGCCTCCGTACAGCCCGCCCAGGCCCTGCCCCACGCTGTGCCTCCACACAAATACCCCCCTACAGCCCCATGCACACCTCTGCCCCTGTATTGCCCCTCGGTGCATATGCCCCAGCCCTGTGCTGCCCCACACATGTAGCCCAGCCCTGTGCCCACCATGCACATGCCCTATACTGCCCTCCACACACATCCCAGCCCTGTGCCCACCATGCACATGCCCTATACTGCCCTCCACACACATCCCAGCCCTATGCCCACCATGCACATGCCCTATACTGCCCTCCACACACATCCCAGCCCTATACCTGCCATGCACATACCCCATTTTGCTCCATGTACATACCCCAGGACTACACCCCTCACGTATATTCTCCAGCCTCATACCACCCCCATGCACATACTACTCCATGCACATATTCCATCCCTACACTCCCTATGCATATATGCTATACTGCCTTCCACACTCCCTAGCCTTATATCACTTATGCACACTCTGTATCGCCCCCTGTATACACGCCGGCCCTATACCACCCCCATACACATGCCCCATACTGACCTATACTGCCCCATGCACATATTCCAGCCCTACACCCCCTATGCACACACCCTATACTGCCCCATGTACACTCCCCAGCCCCATAGCACCCCCACGCACATGCCCTGTACTGCCCCACGCACATCTCCCAGCCCCACATCCCTCACGCACATACCCTGTACGGTCCATGCGC